TGTGATAAAATCATCTGCAAAAGAATTTCGGTATTGTAAGGTCTTCTCACCCCTTTTTAGCTTCAAATGTACGATATCAGACATATATGGTCTAGGATTCGAATTTTTCAACTTTGTTGAAGATGTGTGATCTGACCAGTCGAAAAAGTTTTCAATATTTCTACTCATGTCGATCACTTTTGCTTTGGGAAGAGCATTTTGTACACACTCTTTGAAGTCTTGAGAATCATAGACCTTTGTTTTTCTTTTCAATTGGGTCTCAACTGCATGATGAAAAGAATCAGCCGACATGAAAGTGTGCTCTGGCTCGAAATATTTTATTTCCAGGTCATTTACGTTAACCAAGTCACAGTTCACCACATAAATGAAAAAACAAAATAAGGCCCAATTCTTGTTTTGGCCAGAACAATTATCAAGCCATACAGTTGCGTTGGTGGTTGCAGATGCCAAAAATGGCAATAACTCAATTTTGATGAAATTGTCAGTTACGACCTTCTTCCTTAGCACGGCAAAATACTAAAAAAACAAGTTTTACTGAAAAGACTCAATTATTCTAATGGACTAATTTGATGGCTCTTATAACGTTCTAGATATGAACAGTTGTCAATACGAAAATTTTCGTTGAACTCCCTTCCTTTGGAAGAAAAAAGTAACAACCGCCATAAAAACTCTTCACAGTTGCTGAACGCTTCGTCTTTTCAGATTATCCAATAAGTTTCTGATGAAAAGTTAAAGAAAATTGTTTTCGCCCGAAACTTCGAAGTACATATGGGGATTGATGGGTTTCCGAAGTACATCTAGAGATTGGCAGTTTTCCATGTAAGTGACATTTTAAATCAATACTCTTTCATAGCGTTTTTGTGAATAATATTCCTACTGTTTCAATTCCATGACGAATATTGGAAGTACAAACTGAATAGGAAAAAGTTACTTCCATGTAATTCAATGTTCATATGTTTTGAAGTAGTTGTTTCAAATGAACTTTTTATTGTTCGTATTCGTAAGAAACATTTGGGCATGATCTACACATCTTTAAAAAGACTATATTTTTAATTTCTCAGGAAGAAATGTTTAAGAAGTTTGTGAATAGCCACGTATTATTTCTACTAACAATAGCCAATGGGAAAATATTAAATATTACTGGAGTTTTTTCCCAACACCGAACCTTATTTTAACACCTCGACACGTGTTTCAATCATCAAGTGATCATCTTCAAGAGGATGACCAAACTAATCATACTTACAAAGCTATCCTTATTTATACCATAGATACCTGTTCTAGGTAATTGCCTCTTGAGTGTCTTGAATTAATTTTACAATTTGCCCTATCTACTTGTCTTAAATTAATTTTACGATGTGTCCTTATGTATGTCAGGTAAAACTAATAAATAAAAAAGTATTTTAACAAGCTATATAGTATACTATTAGGTATTGGTCCACCATCGTTATTCATAATATTATATACTTGTGATATACTGTTTGGAACCTTTGGTGTAGTAATGAATATTACTGGAGTTTTTTTCCAACACCAAATCGTAATTTTTACACCTCGACACGTGTTTCGATCACCAAGTGATCATCTTCAAGAGGAAGATAAAACTAATAACTACTCAAAACTATAGTTATTAGTTTTATCTTCCTCTTGAAGATGATCACTTGGTGATCGAAACACGTGTCGAGGTGTAAAAATAACGATTTGGTGTTGGGAAAAAACTCCAGTAATATTCATAATATTATGTTTACTTATTTCTATACTCTCAAAGGCATCTAAAAGCCTCTCGTTGTTAACTTGTCTAACTAATCTTAATGAACTCAAGTCTATGGAATGGTTTTGTTGCCAAATATTTTAAGTGTGCTAAGTGTTCCTTATATCTTCGACTTTCAGAAACGACAAAAACCAAGATAAATATATCTCAGTTCCATACCACCAATACAGGAAGAACTTTGGAAAGATTTTCAAGGAACTAGGTATGAAGGTAGTTTTTAAAACAATTACACTACATAACCTTTTAAGAAGTCCAAAAGACAACATCGAGACACATTGTAAAATTAATTTAGGACAAGTAGATAAGGCAATATTGTGAAATTAATTTGATATAGCTTGTAATATTTTAATTATTATATTATAAATAACGATGTTGGACCAATACCTAATAGTAAACTACACAGCTTGTTGAAATAATATTTTAATTATTATATTTACCTAACTATTACATAAGGACACATTGTAAAATTAATTTAAGACTAGTAGATAAGGCAATTTGTGGAATTAATTTTATATAGCTTATATTTCAATTAATAGACTTACCTGACTATTACATAAGGACACATTGTAAAATTAATTTAAGACAAGTAGATAGGGCAAATTGTAAAATTAATTCAAGACACTCAAAGAGGCAGTTACCTAGAACAGGTAGCTATGGTATAAATAAGGATAGCTTTGTAAGTATGATTAGTTTGATCTTCCTCTTGAAGATGATCACTTGGTTGGTGATCAAAACACGTGTCGAGGTGTTAAAATAACGGTTTGGTGTTGGGATAAAATTCCAGTAATATTCATTACTACATCAAAGGTTCCAAACAGTACATCACAAGGAAAAATATATAAAAAAGCAGACGTATACTGAGATACAACTCATGTTAATAAAAAAAAATGTATATATCCAGATGAATAAAACTCATTTTTTCTCTAATTTGTTTTGTTGGTGTCAAGAAGAATCAATGAGACAAGCTACAGGTCGATAAAGACTCCCTACTAAGAGGCCAGCCACTATGGAAGTAGAGAACTATCCTGTCTATTATGGAATATTTTAATGGATGAATTACTGTCTTCTGGGCCATAATGGATATAAAGTATCAGGTGTATCCTCCCAACAATGTACTCAGTCACCTATACTTCGGATGCTTTCATTCCAACTTAAAAATATGGCAATATGTGTTTCACCTCTTGCTTCTAGAGTTTTTTGTCTTACAAAAAAGAGCTCTTCATATTTTGGCACATTTAAAATCAAATGATACATTTCGAGTAGCATTTGCAAACTTCTGAATTTTAACAGTGACATCTATGAAGGTGTTCGCTCGGCAATGTTCGCATTGCCGAGCACAAGAAACACACACAGCGAGGGGAAACCAGCAAATCAGGAATAGCAGAGCATGTTTGGACCCATCAACATAGCATCGAATGGTCACAAGCTGAGATCATACACAAAGAGGAACATTGGTTTAGGAGGAAATTCAAAGAAGCCGTAAACATGCTATCCAACAATGTATTCAGCCACGCTAACGTATAGGTACACAACATATGAAAACTCATAATCAAGCGAAAAATGGCCAACTCCCGCCAAACGGTCATCTCCCACTAAACCAGTGAAGCGGAAAAAGGAAAGCAGAGATAAGTGAAAGTACTCAAATGACCTATAAATAGTCAGCTCACGGAGGAATGGGTCCAGTCATCACCTGAAGACGATTGTGGATACCTTACAATCGAAACGTCGTGAATTAACTTGGCTTGGAATCTCTTAACTTTTTAATTTTTATTGTATTTATATTTTTTTCAATTTGTTTCATTTTNATTATCAATTACAAGCACCTACAGTGTAGGTACGTTGGGAGATATTATTGTTTTGAGATTTCATTTCAAAATATTTATTTTCTTATATGTATGTTCATACTTATTTTGATTTCAGAAAGGAGAAAAATAAAGGTGGAGGTAGCACTGATGCTAATCAGAAGCACAAGCTGAAACCAGACATGTTATATTCATAACCCATGATAAAATATGCACCTTTGGTGTGGTCGCCAAAGATATGAAACAAGGGTGTTTTATTAAAAAACCAGATAAGGTGAAAACTTGCCCTTCCAAAAATAACGAAAGCAATGAAAACAATAACATCAGTATTAATGAAACTCTTGAAAATCTGTTCTTCTTAGATCTTGTAATGATAGAGAAGACAAAATTTAATCAATTCATTAAAGCCTCAACGAAATGAGCGGATCAATATTTTCAAGTGAACAACAAATGTCAAGGCCAGGCCACTCAGGGAATTGAATTTGTGACATCGGAATTGATCTGTGAATCCTGTGAAGAACTGAAAGGACTAATGTAAAGGGTTTAGAGATAAACCTATGTTTCCCAGGACACACAAGAATCGTGGACAACAAAAAATGCCTGATCAAAGCTGGTATTATTGGACATTGCCTATTCAGGCACACCTGAACATGAGATTGCACTGTTTTCAGAAGACTTAGGAATCATAGACAAGTCAGACAACTTGAAAATATATGTATAGATCATCAAAATCAGTTCACTGCAGTATGTATTTCATTATTAACAAGTAATGTAAGTCACCTCATTTTTCTCTGCCCTTTAATTTTCTAGCAATGTACATGGAATTCAGCTTCTTATCTTAGCTAACCACCTTGGTGATATGTGAAAGAGTAAAAGGCTCCTAATAATTAGGAATCACTACTGCTCCCTGATTTTAATTCAGCAGAATGCATTATTAATAAAATGAGAACGCAATACTTAGCTGATTAATTCCTTTTTGTGCATGTTTTGTTTCTGAATGTTGATGTAAAATAAGCTAGTTAAAACATCAAAGAACATAAAAATGAACAAAAGATAAGAATAAACTATTCTTGGCAACTACTCTCATTTCGAATGATACATTTAACAAATTTCACGCGATAAAACCTTGGGCCGATTTATATAAAGATTGTATGATAGAAATCGTCTGGCCACAGAAAAATGTAGGTAAACAATGTGAATGTCAAATGTCAAGTTCCTGATAACTGAGAATTGTAAACCTACAACAAAAGTTGTTAACGTTAAACTAGGTAAAAATAAATACGCTGTTACTTCTACATGAATCTATCTCAAGCAGATAAGAATAACTAGATAAATGTATATGTAATTGGCACTAATCTAATCCAAAACAGTTTGAACCAATATTATAGATGTTTGAGGAATATCCTGAGAATGTTTGTAAAATGGTTTCATACCTTTATCAGAATCATCCATAGGACCATTATGTGTTCGTGTAACATCTAAAACAATAATTTAAAGGTCACTCATAATTGTTATTAGTAATTTCAAGTTTACTCACCCGCCATCTTGAACCAGGATCAAAACATAGCATTGGTGTGACCACGTGATTAAAAATATTTCATCAATGAATTTAGTGTAGGTTGCACTCGGAAATCAAAAGATTCATCAAAACATAGAATGCTGGTAATTAACCTTATACTATCAATTTTTGACACTCCAGATTACATTGGCATTGGCGTGGAAAAATATTCATGGCCCAAGATTGGTGCAAATTCAGTTATTACCATTGCCAACAATGCAAAACAAAAACAACTATTGAACAGGGCGGCACTCGAATAAAATGAATGAAGTGAACAATGACCCCAAGTTGACTAAACATTAATCGATGTTCGTTTTTGTTGGCCAGTGAAGTAGTTATAGAGTCGGCAGAAAAACATTGCTCGTCGGTGATTTCGCGACGACAACTAATTCAGTTTTTCAAACAGATCTGACAACTATTTCCTTAAATATTTCAAATCAGTGTTAATAAATTGACCTAACGAAGTTATATATTTTTGTCAAACGTTTCGTTAACCAGGTTAGCAACATCAGAATATAATCGCAACTTAAATCTTTATTCATAACAATAAATGTATAAACTTTTTCCATTCAGTCATTTTGTTTCGGCAATCATATCTCAGACAGAGATAATTAGACTGTTCATATATGTATTAGAGGAACATTCCCCATTGAATATTACACTCTCTAATTGAATATACCCAACCAAGTATTGAATTTCAAGCAATCACTTTTGATGATTCAATTTTTCCTTCTAGAGATCAACAAAATGCACCATCATATCTTGATAAAAGGTTTGCGAGATAGTCAATAAGTTAGTATTGTGTAATTACTCCCAACATCTATAATCATTTAATTATTTAACAAAAAATTGTGCTTCTTGATTTCATAATCATCAATTGAGCAGTAAACAATTTGAAATGTGCAGCAGCTTGAATTAATGAAAATTACCTGTTTTTTATGAACAACTTACAGATCATAGACTTTTCTGGAAGACACCATTCGAAAATTGTGGGAAAGCTACCAGATTCTGTTGTCTTATTGATACCAAGACTAAAAAGAATGCATCTATCTCTACAGTTAAGTCTAATCCTAGCTCCTCCAGAGGTCTAGATAGCTTTCCATCGAGGCTTATGAGGATATAAAAAGAGCTGGAATTTTTACTCACTACCTTCTCCAAGAACTAGTATAAATTTCGTTACATTATTTCTTTTTACATTTCAAAATACAAATTTCCAGACGATTTTTCGGAAATTTTTCCTACACTGATGTATCAAAATATACCTACTCCACAGGTAGTGACACCCTTTGAGAATTTTGTGACTTGACGCCGGGGTCTCGATCCCCAGGTCTCGTGACTGGTCTGAGCAAGGGTATCAATCTTACTCCCAAGCGTTGATTGTGGGATTGTGTAGCTTCGCAGATTATCCTGGCCCGGAGAGTTTTTTGGTGGCAACGGTTTTGGTGATTTCGACGCTTATTATGTGGCCTATTTCACGATGATGTTTGAGGAGGGGTGATGCTGGATCTGATTTACGGACAGCAAGCTCATGTTGGAGGCTCTTCTGTTGGTTTGTCCGATGTAAATTCTGGAGCAGGTGAAACATGGTATATCGTATAAGCCCAGTGCCTCATTGGGTATCGTGCCTTTAGGTGTTCATAAAAAGGTGGAAATTTGATCGTTTGCTGTGAATACTGTTTTTACATCGTGTCTCTTCAGAATTCAACTATTTTTTGTATCAGATGGAGTAGTAGAAAGCCAAAAACTTTCTTTCCCAAAAAATTTTGATTTGTTTTGATAAAATGGGAATATGAATCAATAAAGAATATATAGTTGTTTAATTTTGTGCTAACATATCCGAAGACTGAGATTGATTATTTGTATTACTATTGGAATTTTGTATTTCATAGTTAGGATTATTAATTCTTCTGGAGGCAGTATTATAGATTAGTTTTTTAATAATTTAAATGGATAAGAATTATTAATGAGATTATATACAATTTTGAAACTTTTTTCTTTTAATTTTGCATTTCATAGTTAGGATTATTAATTCTTCTGGAGGCAGTATTATAGATTGGTATCATTATTATTTTTTATATTTACTGTAAGTATCAATATTAACCATTTTCTGTTAAAATCAAACCAAATTGTATTTTAGATAGCCTTGAAGAAGCTTGGCAAATATTGTAAATATAAACCGGTTGTTTCGAAAGTTTTTTCACATTATTTGACTGCTGAACCCACGAAACCAAAGAAAAAACATAACTACTCACAGTCGCAAAAATTTATTCCTACTATATGTATATACAGTGTCACCATTAAAGTGCGCACCATATAGGAAACTTTTTTCTCGAAAAATGCCGAAGTTTACCTTCGGCACTTGTTTGTGTTTTGAATTTAACTTAAAATGATGCGGCCAACTGCGACCCACTGACGTTCAGTGTTTGTCAAATTNAAATCTATGCAAAAAATATAGATCTGAAAAATAAACCATTCATAATTTAATCCCCACGGGGTACATTATTTTCACCATCACGGATCAATATATACATATAATTTACATTTAATAAAACCATTCTCCTTGTTCACTCTGTCAACAAAAATATACAGAACTAAAATTAAAAATAAATAAAATATTCAAATACAAACCCGCTTTCAGCTTCCAATGCAACAAATTTGTACAAAAAGCTATTCTATAACGATTTTTGTTTCAATATTTTATTATAAGTTACAAACTCAGAAGCACCTTGTATGTCATGAAGGCGGACTGAATTCCTGTATTTCTCGAAATGAAGATCTGCACATTGGACATTCCACCAACTGGTTGGCACACGATGCACAAAATCCCCTGAAATATATAACACAGATTAATTTATTTTTTGTAACATGTGGTTATAGAAATGGTAAATGTAATATGTAAAGGCGGAAAAAGGATGAAATTTCAAACAAGCCACCTTCTTCGTTGGTTTGGTAAAAAAGTTGATTAATAATTTTTGACAAACTCATGTTTTTATAATTTCTTAGTGAATAACCTAATGGTTCGAACAGTTTATATCATAAAAATAGTTTTTGATTTGTATTTAGCGGGATATGATGGGATACTATATATCGTAACGATGGTAAAAATCAATGTTGACTGCTTAAGCAAAAAATATGAGTCAAGTCAGTTTGCTCAAAGAGCAAAAGTATAAATAATGAGAAAATTATAAAAATTAAGGAGCACAATTAACAAATACCAACAAAAATTATTCAAGAAACAAACTGAAAGGACGAGTTTTCCTTCAAGAAAACTAAATTTTTAATCATAGTACAGGTACCTAGTAATTTTTATTATTTATAGAACAGCATTCTTGTNAATTACACATCAATCAATCATAGTACAGGTACCTAGTAATTTTTATTATTTATAGAACAGCATTCTTGTGGAATAACCTTCTATAGGTTTTTCAAATGAATATAATCTAGAGTCATTTTAATTCAACCTTATCGCACAGACACTGACCTCAGAGCAATTTAAAGAGTTTTTGTAGTGCTTGTGCATCTCAATAAAAACCTGAGTTCATGACTTAGAGGAAGTCAAATTCATGAAAAGGAAGTGAAATGACAAATACCTACTAGATCAACTTGGTAAATGTCAATTCTTCACCATCATGGACCTTGCTTCTGGTTTCCATCAAATAGAAATTGATGACAAGGACATTCCCAAGGCATTTACTGTAGAAAACGGCCGTTACCAATTCTTCAGGTTTAAGTATGGCCTTGAGAATGCTCCATAAAAGTTTCTCATGAATAATATTCTGCTTGGAATCCAGAATGAGCAATATCTTGTCTACATGGACATCATCGTTCATTCCCCAACCGTACATGACCATATTTCAAGATTAAAAACAGTATTTGAATACTCTGCCAAGCTTATCTTGAAATTCAACCAGACAAATGTGAATGCCTTCAGAAAGAATAAAAAAACATTCGCAGTTAAGCCGGATATTACAGAAAATGTATCCTAAATTTGCGCCAAAATATTAAAATCTCTGTTCAAACTGCAAAAAAGTTCAATAATTAAACAATTATTTCAATTTTTATACAAAAAAATGTGTGAATCTTCCAAAGGAAGGAAAGAAGCAATCATTTTAAAAGAATTCTAACATTTTTGGGTATAAAAAGAGAGAGAGTATATAAATATCTCTCCAAATATCCATCCAACGGAACAATGCTCAGGTTTGAGTTCTTTCGAACTTCGAGCTCTTGTAATTCAGAAGAGAACCCTGTTTTACTTTTGCTATACTGCCTCCAGATGAATTAATAATCCTAACTATGAAATACAAAATTCCAATAATAATACAAACAATCTCTATCTTCAGATATGTTAGCACAAAATAAAACAACATAATCTTATGGAACATTGGAAATAACATCTGAATTAAAACATCTTCCTTTGCTTATAAATTAAGTTGATTAGATTTTGCAACTGTTTTCTAATTAGGTTGTGTGTGAGCATTTAAAAGATTTTGAAATATTGGAATGGTTTTTGGATTTTTTATAATAACTCCTATACAGAGCAGGTTTAGGAAAAACATAATTTTAATGAAGAAGTACTCACAATTCTGTGTTATAGGAGCATAATGTATTTTAAACTACTTGTAGTCTTCAAAGTGCTGAAGAGTATTTTGAATCTGGTATACTTGAACATTTTTTAGCTGAAAAAATACCAATGCTCCTGAAATAAGGTGTTATGAATGATTTGTTTTAGTGCATTTTTTTAGAGCTTGGATATGTGTCACACTTATAATAATTCATTAAGCAAAAAATCACTTGAAAATTTGTATGTGTAAGTATATTTGTTTTAGGTCCATTTTTAGATATTGCTAAAGTTTTAAGAAATAATACACTTTTATTACTATTTCAGAGTCTGTATGTCTAATAACATTATGTGTTCGTGTAACATCTAAAACAATAATTTAAAGGTCACTCATAACTGTTATTAGTAATTTCAAGTTTACTCACCCGCCATCTTGAACCAGGATCAAAACATAGCATTGGTGTGACCACGTGATTAAAAATATTTCATCAATGAATTTAGTGTAGGTTGCACTCGGAAATCAAAAGATTCATCAAAACATAGAATGCTGGTAATTAACCTTATACTATCAATTTTTGACACTCCAGATTACATTGGCATTGGCGTGGAAAAATATTCATGGCCCAAGATTGGTGCAAATTCAGTTATTACCATTGCCAACAATGCAAAACAAAAACAACTATTGAACAGGGCGGCACTCGAATAAAATGAATGAAGTGAACAATGACCCCAAGTTGACTAAACATTAATCGATGTTCGTTTTTGTTGGCCAGTGAAGTAGTTATAGAGTCGGCAGAAAAACATTGCTCGTCGGTGATTTCGCGACGACAACTAATTCAGTTTTTCAAACAGATCTGACAACTATTTCCTTAAATATTTCAAATCAGTGTTAATAAATTGACCTAACGAAGTTATATATTTTTGTCAAACGTTTCGTTAACCAGGTTAGCAACATCAGAATATAATCGCAACTTAAATCTTTATTCATAACAATAAATGTATAAACTTTTTCCATTCAGTCATTTTGTTTCGGCAATCATATCTCAGACAGAGAT